TGCAGCTGAGATGTCATCGTGGATGGTGGCGACACGTCCCTCCTTGTGTAGAATTTCATTTTTAGATGGATGGTGGAGGGAACAATGGTTAATTCGGCCAGCATTGGTCTCCCTAGGATGCAGTTGTAGAGAGACGGGCAATCGATGACCAAAAATCACACCTTGATCTGTCGGGATGCGGTTTCTTCCCCGAATGTGACAAAAAGTTCAACGTACCCCCATGTTTTGGAGGTCAAGCCATTGAAGCCTTGCAGATCGGACCCTACGTATGGAGAAAGGTGGGAGTCTTCGAGCTGCAAGGTTCGGAACAGATGGTTGTACATAACATCGACAAAACTTCCCTCATCGACCAAGACATGGTGAACATTGAAATTAGCCATTCCTTCCCTCGCCAGCAGAGGGATGCTCGAGTTAGGGGCCCCTCCAGGCAACTCTTCAAGGTAGAACGTGATTAGTTATAATCTTCCCTTGACCTTCTCGAATGTCACCGCTTAAGTCAGGGATGCATCGACCAACTCATCGAGCTTTCTTTTTATGGAGTTTATGGAGATGTCGTTGAACCCCCGCCAGTTATAACCATGGCGTAGGGGAATTTCTCCCACCTTCTGTGCATGGACAGAGGTTCTTCCTCGTATCTGTCGGGGACGTAAAAGTCCTCCGGCCTTGTAAAGGGGAAAACTATCTGGATGAGGGACATCTCATCCGATGGTCAGATGTCCTCCTCGACCTCTTTTGTACCACGGACATCTCGACGAGAGTCATCATTGCATCGATATTGCCCGAGTTTGTCACTCTTAATTAGGGTTTCGATGGCATCTTTGAGATGGACACAGTCTCTAGTCAGGTGCCCGTGACTTCGATGGTACTGACAGTATTTGCTCCTATCATCCTCAGGCTTTGTAGTAGAAGATCAAGGGCATTTGACGCTGCCGTCCTTGAAGTCGGTATTAGCACACTCCGCCAGGATGCACTCGCGAGAAGCATTCAGCGGAGTGTATTCGGTGAATCAGCTTGCGGGTCCCTATGCTCGCAGAGATCATGCGGTTTATCCTCCCTTCTCTTCTCGCTTGTTCGTCGAGGAGATACTACGTCCTGGTGTCGTAGGGTGTTTGTCGATCCACAATTCCTTGGGTCACAGGCTCTGTTAGCCACTTCCCTCTCCTTGTAGTCCATATAGGCCCTAGCTTTTTCGAGGAGAGCATCGAAAGTCTGGGGTGGTTCGATGTCGATGACCTTCCTAAACTTTGTGCCCGGGAGGAGTCCTCTCTCTCTCGAGCAAATATCTCTTCATGTGATCGGTGCACGGGACCTGAATGGCCTTGCGGTTGAACCGATCAATGAATTACCTGAGGGTTTCGTCGCTTCTTTGGACGATAGCCTCAAGGGCGGTCTCAGTCTTTGGGTGTCGATGAGACGCTGTAAAGGACCTGATGAACTGGCTCTTTAGGTTCCTCCAGGAGGTGATTGGCCCTGGGGGGAGATTCTTATACCAGTCCATTGTAGTATTTCTCAAGGTCGTGGGGAACAACTGACATTTGATTAGTCCCGCGATGTTATGATAGTGGAGCATTGCTTCTAACCCGTCGATGTGGTCAATTGGGTCAGCAATGGCGTCATATTCCTTCAGTTGGGGAGGCTTTTCCATTCCCCTGGGAATGGGCGCCTCCATGATTACTTGTGATAAAGGACCGCGAGGTTTTTCTTCCTCGCTCCTGTAGGGGGGGTGGGAAGGAGACCGATTATAGTGGCGGTCGTAGTGATGTCCTTGGTCTCGGGGAGGATCCCTTGGTCGAGGATATGCTTCTACGTTTCCCCTGTTTCTGTTATCAGGGGATCTTTGTTCCCTGTGCGGGGGGGGGGGGGGGGATAGGGTGAGGTCGTGTCTCCCAGTAGCCTCAGGCATAGTTCTCTCCAGTGTGGGGCGTCGGCCAGCCCATTAGAGAGAGAGGCTTCATGACCTGTCCCGTCCGTGTATCTATGGGGGAGATTGAAGACAGTCTTCATTCCAACAAGGAGGTCGAATGTCAGGTCTCCTATGTCTTCTGAGGGATCTACGAGAGTCCTCGTGCATCCTTATTCTCTCACCTTGTGAGAAGATCAAGTAATTTGTCTTGTTAATGGCCGCGAGCAGAGCCTTGGTCGTGGCATCAGTGCCCGGAGGGACGAGGACCTCCTAGAAAATGTTCGGCTCGTAGTTCTGGGGCGGATGGGTGCCCTCGTATGGTCGAGAGCGTGATGATGAAGAGGTAGTCATGTCATCTCTGTAATTATACACGAGACCGACCATGTCGATGTCGTTCCCGTTATTGTTGTTGTTGTTGCCTATGTTGTCGATGACGTTGTTGTTGGGGTCGACGTGATGGATGTTTAGGTTGTTGTTGGCAGCTAGGTCGACCATGACAATCAAAAGAGCTTGAAGAATTGCTTTAGTCTTGGTTTAATGAAAGACAGGGAAGCTTGTTTCCAACAAACGGCACCACCGATCGTACCGGACCAGAGTGGATCGTCAAGACCTACGAGTTGTGAGATGAGTAGCAATTGGAAGTGAGTTAGGGGGTACCTGCAAGATACTCTGATACCAAAGTAAGGTTCAGAGCAGTGCGAGCAAGTATGAGAGTGAGTATGAAAGAATGAATACATGACCCTCTCAAGAGAGTGGGTATTTATAGCCCCCAGCGTTGGGCCAAGGTCCCCATCGTTGGGCTGGGCAAGCAGGCCCAAAATGAAGACTGCCAGGTTCTACGTGCATAGTGGGACCAGCACGTGGTTCCCAACCTTGATGGACTCCTCTGAATAGTCAGGATGATATGAATACTGTCTTTTTTGGACCAAGAGGACTTTGTGATATTCGGGGATGTGATAAGTCAACCCTATGAGGAGGAGGTTCCGATGTCCTTACATCGTCGTGGGCCCTCCCCGTCAGCTGTGAGGTCATCCAGGAGGGCTTGCATTGGTCGACGAGAAGAGTGGAGGATGCTCGCGAGGTCCTCTTGACCGACGACGATCCTCCTCGCGATTCCTGGATTTATCCCCGTACGGCGGAGCCATATTTTCACGAAGAGTGAGGTTACTGCTCGATATAGTTGAGGGTAGACTCGGTCAGCATGCCTCATCGAGTAAGATAGTTGGATTAGGCCTCGTATGAAGTTAGGCCAAGTGCAGACCCAGTCAAGAACACTTTTTATTTTCACTTCTTCTGATTATAAGAACAAAATTGTGTCATCAAAATACATATTTTTATCATCATAAAAAAGGGGGAGATTGTAAGAACAAGATTTGGTTTTGCAATATCATCTCTGAGTTTTGATGATAACAAATGAGTATGATTGTATGAATAATTTTGTTGTACTAATGTTTATTATTATTGAGTACTTAACAAACAGGTTATGCTTCTGATGGATGGTGTGACCAAGACATTAGAAGAGAATTGATTTTGCTTCTATGCTATACAAGTTCTGTTGAATAGTAGCAAGACACTCCATAAGGCTATGACGTGTAAGCTCTAATTTTATTCTAAAGAAATCAGTCAGAAGATTTGAAGACTCAAGTTTCTACTAAAGTCCAGATGCTAAAGACTCACGTTTCTAAAGACAATGTGTTCCAAAGAAACAAAGTTAGAAGATCTAGAGACAAAGTTTCTACTGAAGTCCAGATGCTGAAGGCTTGTGTTTCTAATAACAAGGTTCTAAAGATAAGGGTTCTGAAGATCAAGTGATGAAGACTCTAAAGAAATAAGTTCTAAAAGATTCTAAAGACTTGAAGTTCTAAAGATCCAAGGTTTGAAGGAAAGGTTCTCACAACCAAGTGTTGAAGACTCTAAAGATATAATTCTGAAGACTCTGAAGACTTGAAGTTCTGATAACTTGATGTTATGTTCCCGCTTCTAAACTCATGCTCGGAAAATTCTCAGAAGTGCAGAAGGAAAGAAGATAACGTTAACGTGCTACAAATAGTATATGGTACAATTAACGTTTCATTTCACTACCATGAAAGGACGAACGTGTCGCACGATCTTGTCCCCCATGTTACTGTTCAAGCTGCCAATGTTTCTGAAAATCCCAAGAGTATCCCTCAAAGGATATATTATTTTATTGGCTATATAAAAGTTTGAAGACTAAGAGAGAAAGCTGTCAATTCACTGAATAATCACGCGCAAACGCTGTTCATAGCTTTCACATTCTTAAGCCACTGTTCATAAAATAGTTTACACATTTAGCTTTTTAGAAGCAATACTATTGTAAACAAAACTTGTATTCAAAGAGTTGTTTGATTTTTCTTAAGGAACCGGGTAGGTCTGTATTCTTAAGAAGTCTAGAGCTTGTGAGTTTTAGAAGTTGTTAGTCACTTGTGGGTAGCTTGTGCATTATAATAATCAGATTGATTATCGTTTGATATTTCTTAAGGGACCAGGTATGTCTGAATCCTTAAGAAGTCTAGGACTTACGAGTCTTAGAGGTTGTTAGTCACTTGCAGATAGTTTATGTAAATTGTAATCAGTTTGATTATAGTGAATTAATATAAACATACATTATTCTTTACTTTTCATTCTTACTTACTATTATTATCAAGAGTGAAAAAGAAAACATTTTAACTTAAAAGAAATACATTTTCAAATAATAGTTTTGTGGTTAAAAATCTAATATAAATTTTCTCTTCTTATGTTTTTCGCACCTTCTCTGTAAGTGCAAAGAGAAACTCTTATAAGATGACATAGGTGTAAGTACATACTTGTCGATAGTTCACAAGTGTGAAGTAGTAGTACATACTTAACAATTAAGAAACAAACCAAACTCCCTCACTCTCTCTTTCTTTCCTTGTCTTGTTCTCAACAATAATAACATGTCCCACTACTAATACTTCCGTATATTTATCTTTTCTCATCTTATGTAACGTAATCGCAATCCAATAAATAAATTAAAAGTAACCATTTCTTCAACACCATCACCGCTTTCACAAAACAAGAACAAAGAGAAAACAAAAATCCTCTCAAATCAAATCCAATGAGCAATTACCCTCCACCAGGTACGTCACTTCTTCTTTTTCTTCTTCTTCTTCTTCAATTTCTAACAATTTCATAAAAAATTGGATTCAATTTTTATTCTGTTAGGGTTTGGATCTGCCTACCCTCCACCACCACCTCAACCACACGAAGGCTACCCTCCGCCGGGATACCCTGGAGGCTACCCTCCGCCACCGCCTCCACCTCATCATCGTCCGCCGCACGATTCCTACCAGGGCTATTTCGATAACGGATATCCACCACCGCCTCCTCCTCCGCTTCACTACAACTACCAGCATGTTGATCATTGTCATCATCATGGTGATCCCGGTTGTTGTTCTTTCTTCCGAGGCTGGTATGCTTTTTCCTTAACGAGCAAGTGTTGTATTTTAGGGTTTCAGTGTTTGGTTTCTATAGTATTAGTTCTCATTTGATTTTGTTTCTGAACGTTGATTTCACTGGAAATTATAGTGTCAGTCTTGAGTCTTAGCGTGTGAAAATTTATTGAGTGAATTGATTCTAAAATTGATTATCACTAAAAGTAAGTTGAAGGTAAAGTGATTTTATGTTTAGAAAAATTCTTGCAAAAGTTAGTTCAAAAGTAAATTTAAGGGTAAAAAAAACATTTAGACTCAAACTATATCACAGCTAGCTTCAAGTAGAATCAATTTTGAAAAGCAGAATCAGTTATACTTGAGAGCAACCAATTATGTCAAAGTCAATTTTTTCATATCCATAATCAATTTTGAGTGCTCTAACCGTAAAACCAAACATATACTTGTATTACCAATCTGCAACTGCAATATAAAGGTTTTAGAGATCCGTAGTGGCATTGAAAAGATTGTTAGATGCATAATCCAATGAGATTATAAGAACTTTATATATAAGTACTGTTTTGAGGTGTTTCCCAATGGGATTCGAACTCAGCACAGTTAGCGGGTTAAGTTCTTACTGAACCAACCTCAAGTATAAAATGATTTCGTGACAATTCAATACCACCTGACTCATTTTTAGAAATATTTTATAGCTGTTCTTCATTTCTTCTTATTGAATTCAAGGGAGACTTCTCATATTTAGAATCTTTCTGCGGTGTACTCTGTTTACTACGCAATAGATCAGCAAAGCGTGAGCGGGAGCGGAGAAGGATACACCAAAGACTTTGGCCTATCCGACAAGTCTTCCCCTGCCCCTCCAAAGTCCCCCTACCAAACACACCTTAAGAGAATCAAAGTATAAAAGAAAACTGTTAATGATTTGATGGTGCTTAATAATCCCTCTATAAACAGATTATAAAAACTGTTTATATGATAGCATGCTATTAGGTAACAACTAGTGAGGGGGGTGTAGGTCAAGTATTTGGAAGTAAGAGCAAATGCGAAAACCAGCTTACTCAAAGAAACCCAAATGCTAATCCTACAAATCTTGGATTCTAATTTCCCTCTCAATCAAGTAGTTACAGAGGCATATCTGTTAAGAAATTATCATTGAAACACAAGTACTTACCACTAGAAATTAGAGCTTTTATTGGCTTATGAAAGATTTTAGTCTTAAAGTTAGCGTTATGTTAAGTGGTGCAGGTCGAATTCCCTTTGTCCTTCCTTATATCTTTACTCCTTAACTTTCTCAACCCAGCCACTAAATGTTACAATTTTTATCTCTATAACCCATAGAATATAATTCAGCAATCACCGAAAATTGGACGTATATCATAGTTTACAATGAAGTTGGAGGAGGATTTAAGCCAATATTGTAACCTACTCATCATGAGAACACTAAAACAAGATTAGGATTTTGAAAACCCAATCTCACCTTTCGCTTAAAAACATATCTTATAAATTTTCCTCCGATTTTGAATTATTTGGGTAGAAAAAATTATCACAAATCCATTTGATTCCCCATCTATAAAGATAACAAGGTTCCTTAATTCATTATACATACTCCAAACAGACTCTAAAATTTTTGTGCTGAATTATGGAGGATATGATTCTTGGTAAAACATGAACCGATGAAAGTGAACAAATGCTTATAAGCATGTTTGTTAAAATTTGTTAATTCTTCTGTTTTCTACTTTCCAAAGATTATAACTTAGCAATTACTTGTGTCAACTGTCAAATATACAGTTAAAGAACCATACATATTAATATAATTGCATATGCACTTTAGTTACAAGCTCACTACGTTTTCAGTCATGAGCCCAAGAGGCCAAGACATTAAAAATTGATTCCTTAGTTAAATTTATCAATCCTGAACCTATCGTAGTTACATTTTCACCTTAGATTGATAATTGGATTTTATGCCTATGCTTTTCATAATAAGCTAAATTCACCAATTAGCTTTTGTGACACATTATTTAACTGATAAATACCCTACATAATTGTTTTATTTCAACATGAAACATCGTCTTTTTCATTAAAATATAAAAATTACAAGAAATGTTTTTATTTTAAGTATTTGGCTTCCTCTCCTCTTTGTGTGCATGGTTCTGATTGAAGAATAAGAATCCTTCATTTGCATTGCAGTTTGGCGGCACTTTGTTGCTGCTGTGTGCTAGAAGAGTGCTGTTGCTTTTTCTGATAATCACCCCAAAATAGAAAGTTGTTTATTCTGTTTGGAGCATTTGGTTATGTCCTATGTAGAAATGTTGCTCCAATTCTTGATATATAGTGTGAGATATGGTAAGAGTTTCATATTTGTTTAATCTTGTTCTTGTTCTTCTCAAGCTACATACAAATCCTGGTTTGTACACACAAGTTATGTCACGTGGTATTTGTGAATTTATTTGTAATAAAATTAGATTGGAAAATGTAAACCATTGCTTATATGGTTCAACAGATAATAATATGGTTAAAATAATATTATATGTTATTTTCATCCTTAGGCATCAATGTCTTTCTATCAAATTACTTAGCATGGAAATTCACCATAGACACAATTTGAAGTCTTAGTTTCATGTGTTCTATATTTGTTTTATCATTTGGTTTGGTTAAGTCGATTAAGCAATTCAAATGGCGGCACAATGTACATTTTGCAATTCACATTATTCACATCACACAAACACAATTTACAACACATTGTCACATGTTCACACCATGATATAATAAGTGATACAAATTTCACATATTGAACAGATCACGTTTCGGTTACAATACATCTAAGTCAACCTTTAATTTCTTATTTTAATCTCACTAATTATCATCGTTCATCAATTAATTCACTAAATAAAATCTAACAATCGACCAAATTTCAAACTCAGGATAATTTCGTCATTAAATGTTTTGAATGATGTCAAAATTGGAAAAAACTAATACTTCTGTATATTGGATTCCTCTGTATTAGAGGTCTTAAGAATCATTAAAATAATATTTCGAAATTGATCCAAGTCATTAAAAATAAGTTTTTGCATAAATTTTCAATTGTATGTGTCGACACATACGATTTTCAGGTCGACATATTTACTGTTGTTTTAAAATTTGTAGCCTCTGACTTGTTTCGGTCGACACATATTCTTTCAGGTCAACACATATAGTTTAAATTTGACATAAGTGTCGACACATACGAGTTATAGGGCCACACATACTGATTATTTTGGTCATTTTTAAAATAATAAAAAAATTTGAATATGTTATTTTTCCCTAAATTTCTAAAACTATAAATACATTATTCATGCATCATTCATAACTTTATGATAGCATAAAATTAGTCTACATTTGCTCTTCATCTTCAACCTCCAATCTATGTATACACTACAATGTTTTGTTGGGGTGTCATCTAGACGAAATTTGATAACGTTCGATTAGATTCTTATGTAGTCAAAGATATTGGGTTGGGACTTGTAGGGGTCTTCATCCAAAAAAATCGCGGGTTTGTTCGTCAAGATTATTGATTGATTTGGGGGGTTTTGTGCAAGATGTTCAAGAGGTAATTGTGGTCAAGTGAAGTCTTTTGGAGATAAAGAACGCAAGGGATTCTTTAGAGATAAAGGACGCAAAGGAAGTAGTAAGAGAACGACGCATTACAATTGAAGTCTTGTGTTTGTAATAGGTACAATTGGCGGCGCGCAAAAGCTTTGGAGATAAAATACACAAAGGAGTAGTAAGATTCAGATAACCAGTTAATAGCTATTGTGTCTTGGTCTTTGTCAAGATCAAAAGAAGAGAAGGGGTTGAATCAACAACAAACATTAGGATTTGTGGAGTTGCTCTTGAACACTTCTCTTGTATCAACTTTTTGCATAGTAAGAATTATTCTAATTCCGTTAGAATTAGGCGCAGACGTACCCACTCGCGAGGACAAAAGTGGGGAACTGTGAAGACAAATCCTCGTGTCTCTTTTATTATCGCTTTTACTTGCTTTGATATTCATCAATTGATTTCTCTAATAATATTGCATTATCAATTGAATTGTAAGAAATTTTTCGGACTGTTTTTTATTTTAAATCAAGTGTTGATATTGCTTATAATCACTTTTGATTATAAGTGCATTTGTGTATCAACACAACTTAAGGAAAATTTTCTGAAAATTCAATTGCACACCAAGTGTTCGACAAATTAATTTTGTTTGTTCTTTTAAATATTGGCACTGGAAATAGAATCTTTAGTAACTTATTATAAATGATTGATAACGTGTTATTTAATATAAGTTCTATTAATTCAGTTTAGTATATTCATTTTATTTGCAATTTATTGTATAGTTGCATATCTGAGTTTTCAATAATTGTTCGTATAGGCGAACTTTTAAAAAAACCTCCACATAAGCTCTTTGTTAAAATAACTTTTTCAAAATCAGAATTTTCTGGAGATTTTTAAAGGAGTATCTATTCACCCCCTCCCCTTAAAGATACTTTGTCGTCGTCTAACAAGTGGCATCAAGAGTCCGACTCATTTCGACTTCGACACTCTCTAGAAAATGACTTACGAACCTAAAGGGGATTATAAAAGAGCCCTAATTTTTACAGGAGAAAATTATAGTTTTTGGAAAGCTTGTATGTAAATTCATGCCAACTCATATGACAAAGGTGTTTGAGAAGTCATTTTAAATGGCCCAACACCGGTAACATATGTGGTTGATAATGTTACTATACCTAAGCCGAAAACTTATGGAATGAGGATGATACTAAAAAGTGGTTATATTATTGAAAAACGAAGAACGTTATCGTATCCGCTCTTGGTGTTGATGATTTCTATCGCATTTTTCATTGTCAAACCACTAAAGCTATGTGGGATGCTCTATAAGTTATCTATGAGAGAACTAACGAGGTCAAACAAGCTAGGATTAATACACTTAATCAAGAGTTTGAACTCTTTCGCATGAAGCAAGGTGAAACCATTGCTCAAATGCAAAAGCGGTTCTCGCATCTTATTACTACTAACAAAGTTTTGAGATGTCTTACTAGGAATTAGCAACCAAAGGTCACCGCGATCAAGGAAGCCAGCAACCTTGCAACACTTGATCTCACCGCTTTGTTTGGAAAGTTAGAAGAACATGAGCAAGAACTCAATTGCTTGAAAAAATATGAAAAAAAGCTTGATAAAAAGAAGAAAGAGAAAAACACCCACAAGGAGGAAAGGTTGAAATCTAAATCTCTAAGGGTTTCAAGTTCAAAATCTTCAAGGGATGAGCCCACAAATGATAGTGACTCTAGTAATGAAGAGAATTCAGATGATGAGCAAATGATATTATTTGTAAGGAAATATAATTGACACATTCGAAAGAATGGTGTCAAACACTCCGACAATAATCTTGTCAAATTTAAAAGACAATCTTATTCCTCTAAAGATGAAGACAACAAAAAGGAAAAGATAAAGGGTATATGTTATGAATGCGTAAAGTCGGGTCACTATAGACCGGATTGTCCATCTCTTGCAAATAAGAAAGGAAATGGTCAACGGAACAACTCTAGGAATTCTAGACAAGCCTATGTTTCTTGAGATAACGATAGTGATGTCTCAAGCAATGAAAGCTCAAGTGAGAGCGATGAAGAGACAAACTATTGTTTCATGGAAAATCATCGTAAAATCAAGAAAAATAATGTAAATCATTTTAAATACTCTAATTTTGCAAATTTGTCTTTTAATGAGTTGAAAAATGAATTTGAAAATTTGCAAAAAGAAGTTTTATATGCTCACAAAAAGTTGGCCTCCCAAGAAAATGTTTTTACATATTTAGAGTCAAGGTTGAAGGAGCCAATGAACAACTTGGGGTATTAAAGAAATTCATTGTAGATAGTTAAAATAATGTAAAGAAGGATGCACAATCTTGTAGGATGTGGAACATGTCAAATTTGGCAACAAGAAGTGAGTACTCTTGAAATCAAATTGGATAAAATATATCATCCCATTGATACTATTGCTATTAGATGTTCATGTGATTGCATGCACTCCAATCAAAGTTTTTTGATGAAGACCACCATACATAAAATCAAAGAAATATCAAGGTTTTGGAAAATAAGATATTCAAGATCATATAATATTTCAAGATCACTCTTTAAAGTCTTCTACATGTGTACAAACTTTCAAGATGAAGATTTATGAATATTCATCAACAAGTTAGGTACAAGTTTTAATTTGAGATTTTTAAGATGATATAGTGCTCAAAATATACTATAAACATTTTACATAAGTGCCATGATCATTTAAGAGTAAAACATTGCATGTCCATCACTTAGAAATTAAATTTTTATCACTTTCACTTAGTGGTAACCAGTTACAGGGTTACATTAACCGGTTATAAGGCTTTGCAAAAATAAAATAAAATTTTTGGTTCAGTGTTAACCGGTTACAACTTTACCGGTTACTGGCATGCAAATTTGAAAATATACACGTTATGGCACATGTGTAACCGGTTACAGCCCTACAGTAACCGGTTACCGCTGAAGAAAAATTCAAATATTTTATGTTTTACTTGGCTGTTGGATGATACCTCTTGGGGTCCAACCATTGCATATTAATACTCATTTAGGGTTTAACGAAAGGATGTATTTTACATATAAATCGGTTTGCACTCTGATCATAACAAAACATATATTATTCAAAATTTCAAAAATTCTTAAGTGTTGTAAAACTTTGAGAATTTACATATTACATGAAACATTGTTTAGAACTTTCATACTCATCATTGTTTCAGCAAATATTGAGCACTAGGTATGACTATAAACTTCCTATTAAATCTTGTCTTAGTATATTTATAACCATGGTGTTATTCAAGAATTGATCATACTTTGTAAAAACCAGATTTTGTATAAGATTAACCTTGCATTTCAGGATTGTTGGAGCCAGTGTATGCATTAAAGAGGATTGTTCTTATTGCACTTAGTGTTGAAGATATTAAAGGTTTTAAGAGCCTTTGATCTCCTTATAGATTATATAGTAAGACATCACCTTTGGTGTGATTAGACTTGTGCAATTATTCTAAACTATAGTGAAATCTCTTTCGTGTTGGCAAGAGGACTAGAGTACTCTCGATCTGTAAGGGGAACCAGTATACATCTGGTGTTCATTTATTTTCCACACTTTATTGCTTTTATCACCATAATCAGAAAAATAATAAATTTAAAAAGAAGACAAAAATTGACCATCACCTAATTCACCCCCCTCTTAGGCGCATTATTAACTTACATTTGGCATCAAAGCAAGTTAAGGTAACTTGTTCCTATTCGATCCAGAATGGGTTTCGCACAACCAACTTTCAAAGATGGTGGTAGTAACAACAAGCCTCCATTGTTTTGTGGTAAATACTTTGACTTTTAGAAAATTCGCATGAAGGCTCATCTAGAAGCACAAGGAGAAGAAATATGAGATGTTGTCCAAAATGATCTATTTATTCCAATATGTGTTGTCAATGGTATTGGAACATTAAAGCCTAAAACATCATGAGATGACAATGATAAGAAAAAGGTATTTTATGATAATAAATCAATTAATCTTCTTCAAGGTGCACTTCGCATGGA